ATAGCAGAATTCCAAGCATATTGACTACCACCCCAACTCAATGACAATAATAGTAAAATTGTAGCAACCATAATCATCACTGTGCCATAATAATCGACTCTTTTTAATTTGGCTAGTAATGATCCGGTTGGTCCTGGTAACTTCAAAAATGCTACAACAGTTACAATTGTTACAACTCCAAGTGGTAAGTTAATATAAAATGCCCATCTAACAAATAGCATTTTATTATTATTGGTTAAGTGCATATTACGTAAATAGATGCAAACATACAACATACCTCCAAGTCACGTGGTCCGTAAAAGCACCTCCTAACAAAGGGCCAACAACGGAAGCGATACCAAAACATGCACCAATCAATCCTTGATATTTACCACGATCTTGTGTTGGAACAATTTCAGAAATAATTATTATGACAAGACTAAATATGCGAGAAAGAAATTAGAAAAATTTAATTGATCATTGAAATTTATCAGTAAATAAACTTTCTAAACCTTATAATACCACCACCACCAATTCCACCAAGTGCACGAAATATTATCATTGCTTCCTAATCAATTAGCAATGTTTATTAGCACATATGCAATTTTTTTTTATATAGTATAACTGAATCAACCAACCATATTTGGCGCCAATCCACATAATAAACTGGCAATCTCAAATATTATTATTGAAAATAAAAACGTTGATTTACGACCAAAAATGTCTGAAAGTTTTCCATAAGTTGTTTGAAGAGCAGTCTAATAAGAGCACACAGATGTAATTATTAATTAACACTTTTATATTTAATAATGTGATAAAACCATTACCATTGTTAGTAGATAAGCTGTTGCAACCCAAGCGATTTGATCTAATGCTTTAAATTCTGAAGCTATTGCAGGTAATGCTGTCGAAACAATTGTTTGATCTAAAGCTGCTAAAAATACCGCAAACGCTAGACTAATTTATTTTTTATAAATATGCAGAAAGTGCAAATGAATAATAATGATATTGACGTTAATCAATATTTTAAACATATGCGCAATGTGTGCGGATAATAAAGATAATGATATGATAAGATAAATACCCAATCATAACTAATGCCAATTTTAAACCCGATAATCTTATTTCTTGGGCTTTGTTGGCTTCTGGATCGTCTTTTATACTACGGATCGCTTCATTTAATTTATTATTATCGTCTATTATAACAATGTTATTTGTATCATTCATGGTGCTAGAAGTTGTATTATTACTTAATGGTTCATTAACAAGTTCTTCCGAAAGATTTTTTTCGTTTGGTGACATTTTTTTTTAATTATATTAATATACTATTTTTATTTTTATTTTTCAATAATTTTTTTTCGAATAAAAAAAAATTTTTGCCATTAAATAACTTTTTTTTCATTGTGTAAAAAAAACAGACGAAATAAATTCGCGTGTCAAAGAAAATCGGTGAGATATTTTTCCGATGTGCTGAATAAATTAGTTTTAGTAATATTAGTAATACATTAATCGGGTATCGGGTAAATTATAAAAACTATCCTATTAAGGCTCATTTGCGAAATACTAATTAAATTCATGATTATGTATTTATGTATTTAACCAAAAATATTGTACAATATTCAGAAAAAAAAAAGTAATAGCGTTACCAGACTCATAACCGGAATTTATCCACGTGATCGGTTTCACGGATACCGTGAATACAGGGCCCACACAGGGCGCAAAAGTATTAATATTAACATTAATAAATTTCAAATTGACACGGACGAAAAGTCATGGAATGAGGTTTAACTTATTTGTAACTCTAAATTGGCGATAATTTTAATAATGACAATCAATAATGAAGAGACGATAAGAGTAGTGTAGCAGTTGAAGTTATAAAACCATTGATAAAGCTGTTGACAAGAAAATGGTGAATGATGAAATTTAGTGTGACTACAAGCGAAGATCCATGTGCATCTTTGTTTAGAATGAGAAAAATCAAATTTCGATTTTTTCCTTTTTTTAGAACTTGGTTTAAGGTTACGAAGGAGCAAGGTTGTGTTCTTAATAATCTAGTTAGGAATATTATAATTGTGAAATTATCAACAATAATATGCAAAGTATTATTTTTCCATGTTTAGCTGGCCTGGAAAGTATAGCAAAAGTGCTAATATTAGGCTAATACATTAAAAACATCAAGCAACAAATTAACTGTTTGAGATGCGTCGGCTTAATTTATCTTCTTGATGTATATACCAATTAAATTTATTACAACTATGGGAAATTAAAATGTTGTGAACAAATTTCTGTAACAAGTTACATATAGAGTGTCATCTTTTTATTTTATCATCCAAACATTATTGATTATTATTATTATTACATTATTAATTCGATTGTTATTTATAAATATTATATAAATCATCATTTTCGTCATCACCATAATTGTCATTTTTTATAAAACCAACTACCCTTTTCTTTATATTTATCGTCCAATTGATATTTATTATCAATCAATTTGTCTAAACTAAAAAACAATTGGTCATTGTCATTCCATTCAAAATATTGAAGCTCGACTTTAACTCCATTTTTAACTTTATCACGTTGTCTTTGTTCAATCTCACTCTAACAGAATAATAAAAAATTATTATTATTATTATTATTATTATTATTATGTATAACAATATAAACGTAATTTTTCCCCTACTTACTTTTAATTTTGAAGCAGTAGCAAAATCACCTTCATTTATAGCTTTAGCTACATATCTCCATAACTTCCTACTTTCTAAATCACCTTGCTCGTCTATTGGAGCTACGATCGGAGTTGCTCTTTTAGAATTTTCAATATCGAGAAACGTTGATTTTTCTTTTGTGTCCACTTTCTCTAAACTAGATCGACCTGACCATGTGCCTGTTGTTACATATAATGGTTCTTTGGATTCATTACGACGCACTACTCCATTAAAGCTATGTTTTTCACCTGATAGCCATCCCTTTCCGCTAAACTCAATAATGACCTTATAATTTTCTGATTGTATTACACTTGTTCCACTATACGCAAGTATACAGTAAAATGTATTAATGTGGTGAGCGTACAAGTATAATTAAGTGTGGTTAATAACCAAGTATATGATCTTTACTTGTTTTTTTTATCAATCATGCTTTGTAAATATAAGAAGAACGTATAATTGTGATTAATTATAATACCTTAATTCTACATATGGAGCACCTCTCCATAATCCAAGAATTTGTAAAGATGGAAGAGTTATCAAATAATGTTCAGGGTGATCTCTTAGACGAATTAGTATATGTCCAACTTGTATTACATCAATACGTGCTGCAGTAGGTCTGAATTGACTTTTTTGTCCAGCTTTTTTATTTGATAATCAAAAATATTGAATATTAGAAAACCAGAAAGAATGTTTTACTCATGTATATTTCATATATGAATTACATACTATGACCATTTGCTGACACTCCAGCCTTTTTATTTTCTAAATAAAAGGCTGAAACAGGTGGATGATGACTAACTTGTTCTGAAAACAAACTAGTTTCGCCACATCCATTTATATCATTCCATTTTGCAAAGAATTGTTCGCCTTGTTTGTTATTATTTATTATTATTAAATAGGTTCAGAATTAAAGTTAAAAACAAAAAGATTTCAATGGGAAAAAAATATAATAATAAAAATATTACCTTACCAAGTATAGGATTAAATGGCTTCTTCTCAATTTTTTCTTTATCTTTACGTGAAGAAAATGATCCGTACAATGTGCTTACATACCATCTGAAAACATTAATAGCCCTGTCAACTTCTATACTTGGTTTAGAAATATCGGCAAAAAGTTCTGGATAATCTGCCCAATATTGTCTATACATACATGCATTATTAATTTGATGGAAGTTATTTTATATATTTTATTATTGTGATTTGTTGAATAATGATGATAAGCTATATAGTTCTTCCTACCCATATTCTAGAGTGGAAACACCAGATAATAAGAAACTTGGACATGTCAAACTATAAATATCTCCAGTAAATGTGGACAGAGTCTTTAAAAACCCGTTAAATTCAGTTTTTCTGCTCTCAGAGGTCACGATGTCTGTTTCAACGTCTCCACTATCAGAACTATTCATCTTTGATGATCTATTTCAAAATTGTCCAATTTTTTGTAGTACAGTATAGTGTTGGCACGTAGGGTCTAACCAAATACGAAAATTAGTTTATTACAGCATGGTGGATATTCAATTTGTGTTACAAAGTAACATGTGCACTCGGACAATCATATTTGAACTGGTATGTAAGAAAACATCTATAATATATACTAAAATTCTAATGTCTGTCACTTTTTAGCGATTTGATTGGTCGGTTCTATGCACTATGATTTAATGCGCAGCGGTTATAGAGTCATATAAAATATATAAACAATTAAATTTATTATTATTAATATTATTGATATTAAATAAAACAGCGGATTTCTAAATTACAATCTTTTGCAAAAAAAAAAAAACATAGCGGATTTCTAAATAACAATTTAATTTATTATTATTAATATTATTGATATTAAATAAAACCAGAATTAAATTATTATTATTAATATATTATTGATATTAAATAAAACAGCGGATTTCTAAATAACAATCTTTTGCAAAAAAAAAAAACAACGGATTTCTAAATAACAATCTTTTGCAAAAAAAAAAAAAAACATAGCAGATTTCTAAATAACAATCTTTCGCAAAAAAAAAACCCCCCATCATTTTTATTTATTACTTTCAAATCAATAAATTTTTTTAATTATAATTGGTGATGAATAATTCAGCAAAAACATTAGTGTGAAAACTTTTGTTACTATATGATCAATGAAAAAATCATTGTTCAAATAATTTAATTGTTTTTAAACTGATTTTATAAAAATTTGAAAAAAAAAAGAAAATATATATATAAATACATATAGCTTCTCTTTTAAAAATAATCTTATGTGCAATTTGATAAGGTTGAAATAGACAAATATGCAGACATGTATTCATCCCAAGAATTACCCTAATGTCAACTGAGAATGCTGGGTTACCCTTTGTATTAAAAAGAAACCAATTTCCTGTACGACCAGCATTTGCCTTGACAATAAACAAGTCCCAAGGCCAAACACTGTCTCATATTGGTCTATACCTACCACAACCTGTCTTTACTCATGGACAATTGTACGTAGCCATGTCGAGGGTACGTTAAGAAAGTAATCTCAAGGTATATGTGAAAAATGGGGCAGTGCAAGGCAAAGATGGGACTTATACAAATAATATTGTATATAAAGAAGCTTTAGTACTATAGACATTATATATATTATAATAAAATATAAGAAAAAAATTTGTATTTTTTGTTGTTAAATAAATATAATATAAATAAATAATATATTATAAAAAAAATCACTATAACAAATTCAATATAAATAAAATAAAGTAACTAACACAAAAAAGCTAATAATAGGCACAAACGTAAGGATGTGCTCAAAATTCTATGGTTGGCTCGGTCTAAAGACCTCCTATTTCTGCGCCACGTGTCCAAATTTCAAAACTAGCGATTTTGTAATTTGTTCAAAAATGCAATAAAAATTTTCGAAAATAGGACTTCACGTGATTTTGGGTTTAAAAATTTTTTTCGTACTGCCAAATTTAGATATGATGGTCATGTATTAGTCTAAATTTAGAAATGATTTTCGTAGTTTGGTCTAAATTTAGTAATGATCCTAGCGGCCAAATTTCTCATGAACATAGTAAAGTACATGTTCTAAAAAAGAATAGAACTCTACAACAAATGATTTTTTTGAGAATATCTCATTATTACATTAAAACTAAAGACCTATTCTATCAACTAATAACGTTATTTTTTTAAAAGATAGGACAGAAAGTGACTTCTATACTTTTAAAATTTATGCAAATCTTAGGAGGTCTTTAGACCGAGCCAACTATAGTATATATAAAAAGTTGTGAAAAAATACTCAGAATATCTTAATAAAATGGCTAGTGAGTTTCCTTTTGGGCCTTTTTTTTTAAAACCCCAATTTTTATTATGTAAATGCTTGAAGATCTGACTGGTGTTTTAACAAGATTACTACCACTTTTCTCAATACCAGTTCAATTATAATTGTCCGAGGTCCTTGCGCATTTCTATATATCAATTTATTTGTTTATTGTGATACAGAAATTGAAAATTTTATTGGTTGATCAAATAATAAAATAACAATATAAATAAATAGTGAAAATTAATTTTCAGAAGTATTCATTAAAGGTTCTGGAACAGGCTCTAATTTATTTTTTAAAAAATTATCATTAGAAACTATAAAATAATAAAAAAATTTTATTATAAATTTTATTTACTTGTTGTAATGCAGCTCTAATATTTATATTGAGATTGTTTGATAGTAAGTTAGAACTGAATTCATCAAAATTATCATCATCATCATCATTTGGTGATGAATCTAATTCATCAGGATTTCTAATTCAATTTGAACAGTTTTTGTAACTTGACTTTCCAATCTAACATTGTAAGAGGATGATATACATTAATTCCATCTACAAGATAATCTAAACAATAATGACATTTAAAACCCATCTTTTGAAAACACTCATTATGATATCCATGACCACATATTAGAACCTTTCCATAAAGCTGTAATTGATCAATTTCTATATTAATACCACTATTTTTTTACATCACAAAATATGGAGGACTTTTTGTGTGATATCCTGTAGGCAAGGTCCTTATTCATACTAATCCCAAGCATAATAAATTTTCTCTTATTTTGTATTTGTTTATTTTTTTTATTATTTTTTATTTCTTTTCTTTTCTTTTAGTGAGGTAATATTTAATGAATTTTATTTAGTAGTTTTTAGATATGTGCCTGGCTTGGTAGTAAAGAGGAAAATGGCTAGAAGGACACCCACCAAGAAACATGTTCAGGTATCTAAAGATATTATTTTAGTATTTCTTATTGTAAGGAATTGTTTGATGATAGTGAAAGATAATTTTGAGAGTAGAGCATAAATATGCATTCATGGAAATTGTTGTTATGATTTAGTATAAATAAATTGTATTAACATTGTTGGCATATTATTATAAATAAAATATTGAGATTTACTGTGAGGCATGGATTTTTATCTCACAGTGATCATTTTTATTATTATTTATAATGTTTATAGATGATAAAAATGTTAAAACAGTATATATAAATGTTGAATATAAAAATACTAATAAAATAATAAATAAATAATAGTAAATGATGATAAGAGGAGGCATGGTGATAGGGTTTGCTTTAATTTAAAATAGATAGCATATAATTATTAAAAAATTTTTTTTTGATAATAATAAGAGGTGCTTGTTCACCATATAACACTTCCTTATAATAATAAGGAAACTAATGTGAAAATTTCAATAATCAGATGAATGAAATTTATTCATAAAATCATCTGGTATAGTTAATTCAATTTGTTTGGAATCTGGCATAGATAATTCAATTTGTTTAGATTCTATAGCATTGATTTATAATTTAGAATATATAATTTAAAATATCATAATTAAAATTAAATATTTAAACAATGAATTAGATAATTACCATTATTATTACTAATAATTGTAACTTTATTGGAGTTTACAGGTTGAGGGAGATTTGTAAAATTCAATAATCTACTTGTATAAACAGCGTTTGGATGAACAGTTTCTGTAATTGTTGAAGGATTAAAGGATTTTTTATCTGCTTCCTCAAATATTTTTTTTATTTCTAATTCTTCAGAATAACTAGAAATATTAGATTTAATTGCATCATTCCAAAAAGTAATAATTTTTAAAATTTCATCTGCTGTTGGTCTTTTTTCAGGATCAGCATCCATGCATCTGTATGCTAACTTAATATAACATTCTGGAGTATTATCTGAAAAACTAGGCCTTAAGCCAACACAGATCTTGATAGCAAGATCTATATCATATGGTTGATCTTTGAATGGTTGTTGACATGTTGATGTTTCTGACATTAAGATCCCAAAGCTATAGATGTCAGATTTTTGTGTGTAAGGTTTCTTATTCAAAACCTCTGGTGCAACATATGGTAGTACTCCAAATATATCATTTTTACTTGATGATTCTTGATCAGCTGGGCCTGATAATCCTAAATCTGCAATTATTGCTTGGGATAAATGTTGAAAATATAAAATATTACCACTGTGAAGATCACAATGCATAAGCCTTTCTTGATGGAAGGTGTTTAAACTTGAGATAATATCATAAAGCATTTTAATTTTATCATTCCATCCTGTATAATTTGATTTTATATAATTTTTAAAGCTTCCACTGCTTGTATATCTTATTACTAAAACATATTCTTTTGTAATTGGATCTTGTGAAATGCCATAAATATTAACAATACCCTTGTTATAAGGTCCTATAAATTTAATGTGGTTTTGAAGCTTTATAAAAATCAATAAAAAATTAATATATTATTTAAAAACCATTATTAATTAATTTTTAATTAATTATCAAATTATTTACCTCCTTTAAAAACTTATCAGAAAGATTTTGAGAGTTTTTAAACTTTTTTAATGCTACATTACCATTACGACGATAATATCTTTTATTATCATTAATATATCTAGGACCATTTGACCAATGACATATGTACACAGTTGCAAAACCACCTTCACCTATTCCTTCTTTAATTGAAAGTTGGTCATAAGGAATCCATTCAAGGTAATGATAGCTATCAAATCCTTTTGCTTCAAGCTGTGTATTTCTGATTATTTCATCTAATTTGTCATTACCACTGCTAGTCCAACTTTGAGCTAACAATTTGGGATCACATGATTGACACCACTGGTAATTAGTATTATATCTTGCACAAACAGAACAGGTTCCATATTCTCCTTTTCTTTCTTTAAACTCCTTAGTGTTATCTTATTATTTCATTATAAAAAATTCAAAATAAAATAGAATTATATAGGTATTCATTTAAAAGTTATAAAAAAGATAAATTAATAAATTATTTACCTTCAATTGTTATTATAATTGCAAAAAATAAATTTATTTAATTAGACAATGTGTTGTAAAAGTTATAATATAATATAATATAATATAATATAATATTTACCAGCTGTTATTATGAAGAAACAAGGAATATTTAATTAGATGATGTTATAAAAATTTATTTTGTGTTGTAAAAGTTACTTACATGCTGGTTATTATGTTATTATAAAGAAAAATAAATTTATTAATTAATTGATGTTTTAATAAAAAATTATTTTGTGTTATGGAAGTTAATTTTATAATATGATACTTACTCCCTAGTTATATAAAAAAAATTTATTAAATGATGCTTTAATAAATTTATTTTTGTGTTAATTTATAATATACTACTTACCAGCTAGTTATTATAAATAAATGAAAATAAACTTATTAATTAGATATAAAAATTATAAAAGTTGATTTATAATACAATATAATACTTACCAGCTAGTTATTATAAAGAAATAAAAAATAAGTTTATTTAGTTGTTATAAAAGTTAAATCATAATATAATACTTACAATCTATGAAATAAAAAAAACAAATTAATTAATTATATGATGTTTATTTAGTTGTTATAAAAGTTAAATTATAATATAATACTCACAAACTGGTTATTATAAAGAAATAAAGAAACAAATTAATTAATTAGATAATGTTTATTTTGTGTTGTAAAAGTTAAATTATAATATAATACTTACAAACTGGTTATTATAAAGAAATAAAAAAACAAACTAATTAATTAGATGATGTTTATTTTATGTTGTAAAAGTTAAATTATAACATAATACTTACAAACTGGTTATTATAAAGAAATAAAAAAAACAAATTAATTAATTAGATGATGTTTATTTAGTTGTTATAAAAGTTAAATTATAATATAATACTTACTCCCTGGTTATTATAAAGAAATAAAAAAACAAATTAATTAATTAGATGATGTTTATTTTGTGCTGTAAAAGTTAAATTATAATATAATACTTACAAACTGGTTATTATAAAGAAATAAAAAACAAATTAATTAATTAGGTGATGTTTATTTTGTGCTGTAAAAGTTAAATTATAATATAATACTTACGAACTGGTTATTATAAAGAAATAAAAAACAAATTAATTAATTAGATGATGTTTATTTTGTGTTGTAAAAGTTAAATTATAATATAATACTTACGCTCTATGAAATAAAATAAAAATTATTTAATTAGATGATGTTTATTTTGTGTTGTAAAAGTTAAATCATAATATAATACTTACCAACTGGTTATTAAAAAGAAATAAAAAAACAAATTATTTAATTAGATGATGTTTATTTTGTGTTGTAAAAGTTATAGTATAATACTTACTTTCTATGAAATAAAAAAACCAAATTATTTAATTAGATGATGTTTATTTTGTGTTTTAAAAGTTAAATTATAATATAACACTTGCCCCCTGGTTATTATAAAGAAATAAAAAAAGCAAATTATTTAATTAGATGATGTTTATTTTGCATTGTAAAGTATTTATTTACCTTTATAGAATTTAGCTAAGTATTATTTTATTATAAAGCAAAATATTAAATTATGATGTAAAAATACTATATACATATTTTTAAAATAGTTGTTTTCTGATTAAGAAAAAAATACCTTCATTCATTTTAGGAGCAAGAGTTTCCCGGGACTGGTGTGTTTATTCCTATTTAAGAAATTGTATTGTATTTGTATGTGATTGACAAATAATAATTATTATTGTTTGATGCATAAATTTTTTATTTATATATAGTGCAAGGCACCTAATCACGCAACTTACTACACCTCAACGACAGATTTGAGAAAAAATTTCCCAATCAAAAATGCAAAAATTTTCAATCACGTGATTTTCAGTAAGTTTTTAGGTCACGGGATTTATTGACGATCAATCCATAAATGGTATAAATCGGCAATAATACCAACTTTTTATTTTCAGGATTCACAAATTCCCGTTCCAAAATTAAAAATAAAAATAAAATGCACGGAGCAAAAAAAAAAATAGTGTACGGAATCTGGTTAATGGTGAAATAATAATTTGGAAAAATATTTCACTGCCAAATATTGAATCTATGAGGTTATATCAACCATTTATATCAAGCTTGTCTGATTTTATTAATATCAATGGAAAAATCGTAAGAATCTGGATGTTAATAACGATAATTCTCAATCAATTGCACAATCTTGAAAAATTTAGAAAATTTATCTACAGTGCATGAGGATGAATTAGACCAGGAATTAATGGAAGTATTCAATAATTGTATTATTCTGATAAATAGATGGAGATAGAATTTTATCAGTATTAAATGAAACATTACCAATAAATTTAGTCAATAAATTTACTTGTGATGAAGGATTCAAACATTTAGCAATAATTTGTTAATGCGGTGAAATTTTCTAGAAAGCGGCGGAAGAAAAACATATCAAGATTTAAGGTTTTAATAATTAAAATTATTTTATAAATTAAAATGTTATCAGTGAATAATGTGGTGTGGAAGGTTTAATTTTGTTTTGTCATAATATTAATATTTATTACTTTATGGATTTATGATTTCTAGTATATTTTTTTTTTAATGCAAGAAATTGTTAGTTTTATTTATTTAAAAAATACAACGTTAAATAATTTCCTTATGTTATGAAAACTTTACCCACATGTATAAGCATCTTGACCAATCTTAGCCCCACCTTTAAGTTTGTTTATTATTAGTAAATAAAAATTGCACACATGTGCTTTTAACAGAATTATATTTTGAATTTCGAGGGTGGCACCTTGCTATTTCAGATGATGTATTGAATCCGCTAGATGTATCTTGTTCTGCGTTAAGATATTGAAATTGGAAATTGGGTATTCTACTTCTTATATAGGTCCGTGACAAACAAACTTTCTGAAATGTTAAAAGGAATCTGCAATATCACGGGTATTAGTATTGATTGTACAAACAGGAGAATTGTAAATCATTCATTACGAAAAATATGCTCAAAAACAAAATGACGAAGAATTGGATTCATAAGCTGTAATGTAACATTACATTGATATTTAGAAGGATTAAAAAATAAGCAATTATGATCATATCGATCTTAATTGGCTTTATTATTATTTAATTATTTTATTTTATTTATATTAACTTTAATTTTGCATTTCAATATGATCCTCATTACTTCGGGGTGCAGAAACTCAAATACATGGTACGGTTTTTTGTGGATAAATGGGCAAGTTCCTGGCGAGCAATAACAAGTTCACCACTACTGCGAATAACTGATCGGTAGCAATTTAATTTTTAGTTATCAGCATTACCAAGGATGATGTCAGGGCCTTTTATTATTGATAGTATCCATTGTTTCTAAGAATAGGAAACTGTCGATTGTTCATCATGCACCCAACTTCTTTTCAATGGTAAATGGTGCTTGTTTATTAATTTCAAAATGATACATTTAAAGCATTGGCAATAACAGTCACAAATGGTTTTTCTTAACTATGCTAATTGATGCAATTGTATGAATTTTATAGGAATGGGCGAACTTTTCAGGAAAATTCTTATTCGGTAAGAAATCTCTGATAGTAAATTAAAATAAAAAACAATTAAAAAGTGAGATGACACAGATGAGAGTAACCAAAATGTTTGCATTTTACAAATTGAGGTAACCAAATAGGAGAACAAAGGTTGGTAAACATTGCGTAAAGGGTATAACAAAACACAAGCATTTTAGTTATGACGATTTCATTAATTACCCTCCAAAGATGCATGCATTAAAATATGTCCAATTTACTTTGTTGATAGTTTAACAGATTTCAAACAATTCGCTTCTTGTTTCTGCAATTCCTTGAATCATTCTGTAAAATTAGTAATAATAAAATATTCAAATCAATTTTTTCTATTTACTTCAAGATTACTAATTTTCTTTTTGATTTTGGCACAAATCAAATCCGAATTTAACGCAGCTGCTCCGATTATTTTTTATAAAGAAACTCTGATTTTCTTTTTTTCAATATGTTGACTTGTAAATCACAAAAAGATAATGTTTGGATTGTGCAATGCCATTTACTAGCCTTTTTAGGCCTAAACAAGGGGCTTAGTTAGCAACACTATTTTAAACTTGTGGCTTATAACTGTTAAAAAAATTTGACTGCACGATTGATAAATAAATTGATTCTGTTTTCCTTTCTTTTTCTGAAAATTTCCATAAATTCATATATAATAAGTATAGGATGTGTAAAGGCTACTTTTTTTTTTGATGAGGAATTAATTTGTTTATTCTTTTTTTAATATATATTTTTTTAACATTTATAAAAAAAAATAATTAATATCTACGATTTTCATTGGTTTTGTTCAAATAATCTTCTCTCAAAGATGTTGTTGCTCTGTTCAGACCGATAATGGTATGGGTTTTGACAAAACGGTCTTCAAGAAATTCTATGGTAGAAAAGAATTTTCAGATTGGTGACGTTATCCAAGCAGTAGGGCGATTAAAACCCTCGAGGAAAATTCAAGCCATGAATAGATTCATTGACAATTAAAATTGTTGTTTTTACATTATTAAATTTTTTCATGTACTTTCCAGTTAAAAATTATACAATCAACCAAGTTTTTCGCTGGTGATTATGACAATAGTGACGATGATGGTGATTACGATAATGGCAATGATTATAATTATGATAATAACAATAATGATAACAATGGTACTCGTGATCAATAATGGCACCAGCTATCATGTGGTAACATGAATAACTGCCTCTCTATTCATATGCGCCCGCACCCGTTAATGACACCCATAGAAAGGATGAATCATTGGTTTCATGAGAAGACATATAACGGAGCTATTTGAACAAAAATGTTTGAAATAAATATATTGGCATCAACTCGAGATAAAAATAAATTAGAAAAATAGGAGCTTTTTTTCGAGGTGTGACGCATCACTAACAGGGTCAAATTTGGCCCCTGAAATTTTTCGCTCGACATTAATATATAATAATAACAAATAATAATAATAAGCAAAAAAATTTGTGACAAACAATAGTTAAAAATATATATATATATATATATATAACAATAATAAGAAACAATTGTAGTAGTAATGTCTTTTTAATTATTTAATTTAAATATCTAATAATCTTATATAATAGAGTGTATTTGTAAATACTTTGTTTTACATTATAAATATGAAAAAATATTCAAAAAATCCGATAATAGCAACAGAAGATGTTGAATTGCCAAATATATCACCAAAAAAAACGCATAAAAAGAAAATTAGCGATAGATTTGATGAGGTTGATGAAAATATACTATATAGTATTATAGGAAATCATAGTAATAGTAATGGATTTAGTATTGGCGAGGATGATACTGAAAATGATTTCGGTGATAATGAACTTCTTTTGGAAAGAAATAAATCTTATTTAGACATAAATGATTTTTATCCACATGAAAACTCCCCAATACCCATGGTTGCCGCGGTAATTATTTGATTGTTGATTTGGTGATTTTGTTATTTATTATTTTTTTTTATTGTCATTTATTTCATTGTGTAGTTATTTATTTATTTCATTATTTATTTATAGGCTGTTAGTACAAAAGATGATCCATCCCTACAATCGATAACGTTTCGTTTTTGGGTACTTAGTACGGTAATTAATTAATCAATTAATAATCAATTGATTGATTTTCTTTGGTTGGAAATTTCAACTAATCAATAATAATGATGATAATAGTTTTTCACAGTGCTCGGTGCAGCAATATCCCAGTTCTACTACTTTCGTTCAAATGGTGGTGGATACTCTGTATTCTTTGTATTGTTAGTATCTCATGTTCTTGGTAAATGGATGTCTAATGTTTTGCCAACAAAACAAATTCAAATTTATAATTGGAAATTTTCATTAAATCCTGGTATGTTATGATAATAATTATTATTTTTTTTATCAAAATGAATATTATATTTATATATTTGAAATTATAGGTCCATTCAATATAAAAGAGCATGTTTGCATAGCAGTAGCTGCTGCCGCAGGTGGTGGCACGGCATATGCAACAGTTAGTTTCATTTTAATTAATCGTTTAGTTAAGATTAAGTTTGAATTCACCATCAATAATAATAAAGAAAATATATTTTTCACAATTTATTAGGATATTATTGCTATACGGCAATTATTTTATGGGGACAGTGCTAATTTTTTACTTGGAATTTTATTATTATTGAGTACTCAGATGATTGGATATGGATTAGCAGGATTTTTGAGAAAATGTAGGTAGATTGATTGACAGAAATGAAAATAAAAATATGCATTTTACTATATTCTTTAACAATTTTTTTCTCTACCTTTATAGATCTTGTTCGTCCAGCTAATATGTTGGTATGTCTTTTGTTTTGAGATCTACAAGATAGTAATGTAGCAATATACCAATTTAACAATAGTACTGATTGCTACTACAGATTAATTAATATTATCATCATTACACAATTAATGAACCATAATTAATCAATCAATCACATACTTTATATATAGTGGCCTTCAAATTTAGTATTCGCCAGTCTATTCACAACATTACACGGAAACGTTAATGACACAAGAGATAAATTAAAGTTTTTTTATATAGCCTTCATCCTAGTATTCTTTTGGCAATTTTTTCCACAATACATATTCACATGGCTTACCTGTATATCCTTGTTGTGTTTAATGGTACCAATGAATGAAAGTATCGTTAGATTTGGTAGTGGGTATCAAGGATTGGGTTTTTTGACTTTTTCGTTGGATTGGAATGCTATTGGACAAACCGGTCCTTTATATACTCCATGGTGTGTATTTAATTTAATGTACACCACACACTCACGTGTGTGGGTTTGTATATTTTCTTATGATTACGAATATATATGTCATATTAATAATACATTGATTTGTTTTGTTGTTTAGGTGGGCACAAGCTAATTTTTTTTTTGGTGTTATATTAAGTGCATGGGTTATTGCTCCAATATTATGGTACTCCAATGTTTGGTAAGAATATCTAAAAAAAAATTTTATTCTTTTTTTTTTTTTTTTTTTTTAATGAAATGATTAAATTAAATATTAAATTTTATTATTATTATTATTTAGGGATGCTCAAAAATTTCCATTATTGGCAACATACTCTTTAAATAAAAATGGTGAAAGGTATATATATATATATATATATATGATAATAAATTTACCCTGATATGCATTCAACAACATTTAATCGATTAATTAATTAATTCAACATTAAATTATTTTTTCTGATAAAAATCATACAAGATATAATCAATCGGCAATAATAGATCAAGAAACTGGTTTTTTAGATGAAGTAGCATATAGTAATTATGGGCCTGTATTTCTAAGTGTCACATTTGCGGTTGGATATTTCTACTCTTTTATAGGTTTCTCGTCAGCTATCAGTCATGTTATGTTATTTTACGGGAATGAGATTTGGAGTAGGTTTAAGGCTAGCAGACAGGAAGGTGAAGATATTCATTGTAGAATGATGAGAATTTATGAAGGTTGGTGATTAATATTGATCGGAAGAGAGAGAAGAGAGATAGAGATAAGAGAAAAGAGAGAGTAAAAATTGTGTTAATTTGTAATTTATGAAACTTTAGAGATACCAAACATATGGTATTTCAGTATATTTGTAACAATGTTGACAATTGCAATCACAATTTGTTATGTGTCTGAATCAAATTTACCATGGTGGGGACTATTATTGGCTGTAGCTCTTGCTTGTGTCATGGTGCTGCCAATAGGTGATTATTATTATTATAACAACAAAATCGTTGTTGATAACCAATAATTAATTATTTACTTTTAACACAATTGTAATGTTATTGTTCTTTTGTTATTTTTTTAGGTGTAATTCAAGCAATATCAAATAGCCAAGTTGGTCTTAATGTTATATCTGAAATGATTTGCGGGTGAGCAATTTTAAATCATAAATTATTTTTATATTTATATAGTTACACAATATTAATTTATTACCACCATCACTATTAGGTATATATTTCCAGGCAGACCAATAGCCAATGTATATTTCAAATCATATAGTTATATGGCCATGTATCAATGTTTATCATTTGTTTCAGACTTGAAACTGGGTAAATAATAATAGCAACAATTGTCATCATAATTATCATAATTTAAATGTATTTTTCCTGTATATTATTATCTATTTATAGGACTATATATGAAAATACCACCAAAAGCATTGTTTGTGGCGCAAGTATGGGGAACTTTTGTAGGAGCATTTATAAATTATTGGACACTACAACTTATTTTAGATTCAAAGCGTGATTTTTTGGATGGTACCAGACGTGATCCAACTGGTCAATGGACTGGTTATCGATCTCAAGTTTTTAATACTGCTTCAATTGTGTGGGGGTTAATTGGGCCTGCTAGAACTTTTGGAAGTGTAATTACCAATCAATCAATTAATCAATAATTTTTGTATCAGGATATTTTCTTTTTTCTTGTTTAAAATTAATTAATTGTTTGTTCTATTTATTTGTTAATTTTCTAAATTTTTTTTTAGGACTCAATGTATCATATTATGTTATGGGGTTTCTTAATAGGATTTCTATTACCATTCCCAATCTATTTACTGCATCGAAGATTCCCAAATGCAAAACTTCGTCTGATCACTGTACCCTTGATTTGTCATGGTTTGAGTATAATACCTGGCACATATACCAACTTCATAATTATGGGATTTATGGCTAGCTTCTTGAGCCAATTTTGGGCATACAGGTATCATTATAAGGTAAATAAATGATTATGTGTGTTTGTGAGGGAACTGAAGTTTGTTTTTGTTATACAATATTTATATATTAATTAATGTTTACCTATTTATTTATATGAATTTTTTTTTAGTGGTGGTCAAAGTAAGCAATAATCCAATTATAAATAAAATGAATAAATATTACAATAATTTATATTTATTAATCTTTTTATTTTTTTGTTTCAATATTGAAAATAGATATAATTATGTATTATCAGCTTCACTGGATAGTGCGTCACAAATTGTTACTATGTTTATTTTCTTTTTATTGAGTGGTTTAGTTGAGGTAAGTAGTCAATCGGTCATTACATAACTAATCTAACTTGAATTAATCAATCTAATCGTGCCAATTAATCTAATTAATTAACAACTCTACGTTTTTTATGGTATAGATACCGTTTCCGGAATGGTGGGGAAACAATCGAGAATCACAAGGTGAAAGGTGTTTTTTGCCACCAGGTTCATCAAAAATTTGATAGAAAACATACCCAACTTTTATTTATATATAATTATTTATACAATTGTAAAATTTTGACATGACTTAGAAGAATTTATTTTTGTTATCCAGTGCTAAATTAGCACAACTTTCTACACAAAAATGATTCATTAATATTTATTATAAAGACTAAAGAGTAATTTTAATATGAAAATAATTTTTAAAGACAACGATTTTAGGCTAAAAAGTCTACTTGACAGAATCTTCTTTTTGGGTTGATTAACAACATTCATATTAAGCCAATAATTTTTTTGGAATTTTATTAAGAAATGGAGTAACGAATGCTGAAAAATCGTGCTGAATTAGTAATGTAAAATGATTCCACATATTGTTGTAATTGAACCAAAATTAACTTTGCAGCTAATATTTAAAGAATTAATTTTCGTGACGTGCTATCACTATATTAATATATTTATATGGGGCACAATGCAACAAAGTAACTATCTCAGCGGAGTATTGTTATTGTTATTATTATACTTATCCCAAAATAAAAATTTAATTAAGAAAAACGTTGTTTAAACAAACACAACAGTCATCAAATTCTAATGCACTCATGGTTAACTATGAACGGAAATAAGTATTTATTCATTGTTAACACTTGTAAAAATAAGCTCGTGATAGTTATCATATGGCACTAGAGTGTAAACAATTCAAGTTCAAGTTCAAAGCTTCACACTGGAAAGGAAACATTTAAACATATATAACGTAATAGTAACAAATAATAATGATAGATCATATTTATAACAGCTCTCCAGTCTCTTCTGTGTATTCAAACTTTTTGTTATAAAAAGACTACTGATCATCGATGAAAAGTTATCATTGTTAGTAATGGAATTGTGATCAAAAAATTCAATCTCATAAATTTTAATTATAAGAGAAAAGACGGTACATGGTATTGAGGATTCCCTTTCATTGACGGATTAGTTAGACAAGAGAACATTTCCTTAATTTGATATTGTGTTTTACATCATACTAACAATAAAATGTCACCTTTAACATAAATTTGAGCATGGATGAAATAATATACAGAGCGAATCAGATCGCAGAAAATATGATTTACTATATAATAAATTACAAGAGGGAAGGCTATAAGTTTGGCAACCAAATGTCAAGTTATATTCCAAGTGTGATAAACTATAGCAACCCTTTAACTATGAATCCAAAAATCATTATTTTCTTTAGCCAAGGAAGATTCTTTCTTCCTCAGTTCCCTGATGTCGACTATTAATCATTTCATCATATTCACATTGGAGTTTATCATATTTCAGATCCATTCTTCTCAAGTGCTGTTTAAAGGAAAAGTTAGATTTTTTCATAATGGCTACCAGATTGACTATACCATCATTAAAAAACTTGCCTCGAATTGATAATTGTCAAGATAGTAATCCTGCAACATTGTTTCCAACATTTGAACGCGATTTTCCAATGTTGCATTGTTGCGCCGGTTTGATACTCTTTGTGCCAGAACGATTCCTGAAGATGTGACATATCGTTTTGCTAGTTTTGCTTTTAAGCTTTAGCATAAAAATGACAGATTAGACAAGCCAACAACTCATTTAATTAAAATGCTTAACAATTTAAATTACCTGCGTCTGCAAATTCTGCATCTTAGCACATATTTTTGAATAATACCCCTGTGAATGCACAAATATTAGGCTGGAACTATTCGGTAATGCATCATTTAAAGTGCGATTAAACAATTCATACCATGGAGATAGTTTTGGCATTCCAAATAATAAAACATACATTGAATTCAAAGCAACATAGAAACCACCAAGATTGGCTATTGCATTCCCAACTTTGGTAATTTTTGTTAGGGTGATTTTGATGCAATATACAGACAAACATTAAAAATCTAAAAAAAACTTACATGTATATTCATTAATTTCTGTCTCGTAAGTAAGTTGATTGAATACATTTACGCTAAATTGGATGTTTCCTTCGTTGTTGAGTTTTGGAAGGCTTTTAATAGCATAATTTAAATAACAGGTCTCTTCATATGATCTAAAACCCCAATGATTTGATATATAATGTCTTTCAATCTTTGGAAAAATCATGATACTAGAAACATCTTTGGGTTTAAAAATAATAACTGAGTCAGAAATAATCTTATTCACGCAATTAGTGTATGGTTTAGAGAAATCAGAAATATTCACATTCTTAAATATGACATATAACTGTTGATCTGAAATGTAGTGAGTAGAGACATATGGATTAAAATCTTCTTCTCGGCGGAAAAAATCATCATAACTTTCAAAAGAAGTGTTGGTTGAAGATGACGTAGAATTTAAAGTAATGTCAAAAAATATACTCTTATGATAACCCAAAGAAAAGTTATACGCTTTGCAGTTTTGAGGGACTATTCCACTGATATTTCCACAACTATGTCCATTACTCATAGTGCAGTTAATATTCGATTGCTTGTTAGAGGTGCAGATGTAGGCTTCTATTGGTTTATTAATATTGGTTGTGAATATTCAAATATCAAATTTCTGTGCTATACATAAGAAGTCCGGCGTTCATACCTGCGTTGAAGTTTTTAATGTAACCTGTAGATACTTTAATACTGGTCTCTCCATTATATGATGTTAGATAATAAATTTGCATATTCGCGTAATATAAAATTGAAACTGCCAAACCAGCTGCAATAAAAATACGGATATTTTTAAACCAGCGAGGTTCGGTGTTCTTGCTGTTAAAAATTGCATCATAGAGAAACATTTTCGATGTATTGATATTAAACTTGTAATGATTATTTCTGGACAACTTCGTCGTTTTTATTTATTATATAATTTAAATGTTAAAAATATTAAAAGGTTATCAATATGTTTGTAAAAAAAATTTCAAGTTTAGTAAATATGGAAAGTCAATGCAGCCTTATTAATAAATTGCACAACATAAATGTAAATAGTAATATTAACAATAAAGGAAACTTAGTTGCTACTTTCAAGCTTCATTTTGACTTTTCTTCAAAATGGTCTTTGCACGGCGTTTTTTCACGTTGACTTTTCTAATTTTGCTTATTGGTGAATTAGGCCTTTTAATATATCTAGCAGTAAGAGCTTTTGGGCCTACAGATAATCGAGAATTTTATGAGTGGGTTTCCATCATTGCGTCGGTGTCAATGGCGGGATTAATTGTTGTAGGTTATTTGTTTTCTTAATAGCAAATAACAACTTTTCTAGACAAATAAATACAAATCTTTTCTTTTAAAGCTTTTTTCAAAAACTATATTGCATGCCCTCGCCTTCTGGCTCTCAAACTTTATGCCTATTCTATTTTCAATTATGGTCTACGTTGGCAATGCAAGAAAAAAGGAATATCTTGTTTCAATTATAGTGTTTTCTATCCTTCAGTTTCTTTATGTTCTTTGTATTGGCACATTGTGGCAAAAAGGGTAAATGAAACCAATTATATGAAAAATTTAATGGTTTGTTTTATCGATATAAGAGCTGAATTATTCAAATAGATACTGGAGATTTCAAAAAAAATCAGAATACGGCTTTGATATTAGTGCAGAATCAAGAAGTAAACACATCAGAAACTTATATTAAAAATGTTTATTTTCATAAAATGCTTATTTATTTATCATGTAGGTTTATTCTCTATGTACCAACGTGAATTGATTCTGTGCCAATTTACAGTTGTCTTTGTGCTCACTAAAATAACAACTTTATTTTATTTTGGTACTTTACTGGATTTGGATATTACGAAGGTCCTGTATTTGATATCTCCCCTTATCTTCTTACTCATTATAGGGGTATGAGCGTTTGCAATTTAATTCTTTTGAATAATTAAATCATCTTAATATTAACTCAGAATTTTCTTTTTTTTTGAAAAGATTCAACAAGAATCTCAGTGCATTGTGTGCATCGCACAATGTTTTGTTGTTATTTTCGGTGCTACGTTTGTTTTGGATTTATTTTTTTCATTTTCGTATCATCCTGGTTTTACTGCTTACGGTATCCTTTTAGGCATGTTTACTAGCATATAAAGGTTATTAATAAATAATTTTCTTTCCGACCAAAGAGACTTACTAATCACTTTTTTTGTTTTAGATTCCATCTGTGGAATTTTGCTTATTTCATTGTTCATACAAACAATCCAATGTCAACGCAACTTTAGGAAAGGCTTGAAATTAATTTGTATGTTTTTAAGGTTGTTCACCACTTCATATTTATTATAGTGATTGATTGATTCGTTTGTTTTAGTGAGTTATGAACCCAAGCCGAAAGAATATATTTATGATGAAGACGAAGAGCTACTGGATAAGAAGAATGATGAGAAACTGCCAGAAAATTTCTGGGATAAGAAAGACTTTTCAATTCGTAAAAAATGCTTGGCATATTGGAATGTATTTTGGAAAGCATTGTGATTAAGTTTATCATAATAAATATCAGAGTTTATATATATCCTTTTTGATCAGATTTATATTTTATAATACATAATCGTTATATGGTCTTTAACCATTTATTATTTATATTAAGAAATGAATAAATGAACTAAAAAAATTAGCATGATTTAGAAATGGAATACAGTCTTTCAAATTTGTTGCTATTAGGTCAAAAATGCCGAAAATAAGCCTTGACTTAAAGTAAAAATTATGCTTAATATTAATATGAAAATAACTTCTCGGATAATGCTAAGCTTTCCAGTACTATTACTACTATTATATTATCATTGTTTACTGTTATTATTATTATACTAATATCTCCTAATTCACTATCACTATTACTATTTAATGGTTCTTATTGCTAGGATTTCTATTCGAATATGATTATTTGTTATGAATTTGAGTATTTGAATTGCACTGAAAGTTTATTCAAATAAATGAATAAGAATTTCTATTATGAATAGAAACTCTAACTATTGCTATTGCTTTCTTTATTATTATTTTTTATCTTGCTACAAGCATGTATGTTTTTTTTGTCATTCTAAATAATGCAGATGGACTCATCTAAGTGTCTATAAACTGAATCTGCACTAAAATTCCAGACATAAAAATGAATGTTACGATAATTTTTTTTATCATATTAACCGACTAAGTCATTTAAAGATTCTTTATCACTAGTGAGAAATTAAAATCATTTATTTAATTGGCACAAAACTAATTAATATTTTCATAATAGCTGCAAAAAGGAAATTTTTTGTTTTGTACAGAATAAGTACACACTTTACACACTTGTAGTAGTAGTATTATAATGGTATCGCATAATAATATATTGGTGCCGTCCAAAAAGGTTCAATTTATTATATAATTTTTAAAAATTTCATTGTATATAACAAATTCATGTTTCTTTACTATGTTACAACTATTATTACAACAAAACTATATTCATAAAATCAAAACACGTTCGAATTGTCTTTAGCACATGAATGATATTTAATCATGCATAATAGTAAATGCACAATAAACCCCGCTCTTGAATTGCTTTAGTATCTGAGTTTGAAACATAGTACATTAGACAGGTTTTTGTGCAAGTTTTAAATTTGAGTAATAAAAATAGAAAACAAAGAAAAAGAATAATGTTAAAGTTCTTAATCTATCATTAGAGTTTAGCAATGGGATGAATTTTTTTTTTTGATATTGAAGTTGTTCTTTAAATAATAATTTTTATTCAAAATAGCACAAATTTACACAATAATAGTAATAGACATTCTTGTTTAAAGAATAATTATTTTTTGAAATATATAGTAGGGTGCTGTATTTCTTTAAAAAAACCCAATTGTAAAGGAAATGTATTGTATACTTGCAGTTTTATATCTTGATAGAATGTATTCTAACAATCCATGAAAGTCACTTATAGGCAAATCAAATCAAATGACTTTGAGATGAAATCCATTCCATGGCTCTTGATTATCATGTAGCAAAACGATCACAAATATTTTTAATGCTTTAATTCGTGGATCATTTCATATCCGTGAACTAATTTTGCTGTCTATAATCTCTTGGATTCCTAGTAAAGATAGATACATGTTAATAACAAGATCAAGTAAATTTAACATCTATTAGTATTTATATTTCTTACGCTTTTCCCTTCAGAGATGTCATTCAATTCTTCAATAACCTCTAATGCATTCTCAACATCCTTTGAAAGAGTTTGTTCGGCTAAATCAACATGCATCTTACTCCAAGGTGTTAACCAAATATGACACTAAGTTAGCCTTGATGACTTAGCTGTTGCATGATGACCAGTATAATCATAAACTCCTTTGATATGTTTCCATTATCTTCAAACATAATTTCACACATATTTTTCATCATCTTGTCTTGTATAACACTTTGATAAATTATTACAAAGCTTCTTGAAAACATGAGTTGGGTCACTAATGAAAAACCATGGATTTCCTTTAATTGGGATTCATTGCTTTATGCCATAGCCATAAATCATGCTCACTATTTTTCGGTCTTTATTAATTGAAAGATTACCTTCGATGACAGGTCTTAGAAAATTCCTATCAACAATAATGCCTTCAGTAAATTCCTGGTAGAATTTTTGAACTGTAAATTTTCTACAAGCAATCAATGTTTGAATTTAAAATTTTAGCAGAATAAGAATTACCTTCTTCCTGTAACAATTCCACAATACCACCAACAGATTAGGTTGAAGCAACCAATCAAAACTTTTTATATGATTCGATTCTTACTAGCACAATCACAAACCGAACCACAGACAGGTATGGATTTCAATGCATTCCAGATTTACTGCAAGGCCAAATTGGCAATGTCAGCCGGTAGAAAACCCTAGTTGCTAACACTTAAGAAAATTTTTATCAAATGAATTATTTATTCTTACTGAAAAATTCAATTTAAAATATAAAAATTTAATTAAATATATAATTAACCAACTTATTGATCAAACAGTTTACAATTTCCCTCAAAAATAATATATTATGAAGGTCGTATTGACTCAGTCTATTTCTTTTCTACGAATACATTTCCAGTTGAGGAAAACAACCTCTCAGACGGAACTGAGTTGCTGGTATAGCTAAGTAAATCCTAGCTTGAAGTAGAACCACCTTTTTCTGATTCCACCAAAGGAGTGGATTTTCTTCTAATGATAATTTTTGTAATGTTAAAATCAAATTCAAGTTCAGGTTTATATTTTTAGAAATGCTATTATACATAATTATAATAAATCTTTTATACCAGCACAGGAATGTATTGTAACACCACGGATTTTGTTTGTTGATATGCCTGTTGCTTTACAGGCACATAATCTTCTCCATAAATGATTTTTAAATCTTGGGTTGCTAAGATATGTCTAACACAACAAATCAAAGGTCCTTCAAGAGAAACTTCAAACAAAAAAATTTGAATGTGATTATTTTATATTCATAAATCCAATGTAATTATTATTATCAATATTTATTAACTTAAAAAAAAAAAACGTGTGAATCTTTAACAAAAGAAGGCTCTTTCTTATACCTGATAAAATAATGATGATGATGATGATAAATGATAAAAATAATAACTTACCTGTAGAATTCGTAAAGAATGTGTTTTCTTTTTTGTTGATTATTAGGTTGTAGATAAATTTCTGTTCATCAAATAATTCAATATCTGAAGAGCTTGGTTGTTTGATATTTGAAGAAGTGGTTGAGTTGGTCAAATTGATTTTTTAATGTAGTCTAAGAGGTTGATGCTGTTGAGAAGTAGGGGGAAAAGAAAATGCTCCAATAATATTAGATTTAAATAATGCACCATTATTTTTAATATTTATAACTAGAGTGACAACAAGTGACGATAACCACCATTCTTTTTGATAATAATACTTATAACACTTACCCTCTAACTACTCTATATTCTTATTCTATTATTACTTTTATTCTTTTTTTAAAAAATGCCAAATCAAAACATCAATTATTCGCGCTGTGTCGTACAAAGATCGAATTTTATTTTTTTTTGGGAAACAATTTATTTTTGACAAGGTATAAGATGGCAAAACGTGAGCGATGTTTCTCGATTTAATTTTTCCAAAGATGTGCTGTTTATAAGTATTTTTTTTTTATTTGTATTGATTTATATTTTTTTAATGAATATTTTATAAATAAATATCAGTCTTATAAATATTATAATTGAAATTGAAATCAAAATGCAGAGCAGAATTTACTGGAAGATTCTTATCAAGATAATGAACAATTGGTATTTTTTTTTTGTAATCAATATTATTATTATTATAAATATTTAATCATAAGAAAATGTCAAGGAAACACAACTGTTGAAAGCTGTTTCTAGACAATTTAGAAATATTTACATTTTAAATTAGTATTAAAATTGATTAACATATCCACCGATTTTTGCAACATTTTAGGGCACATTTATAAAAATTTCTAAGGGGTTACTATATAGAATTAGAAG